CTCCCTGCACAGTTGCAATTGCCATAAATAGTTGATTTATACACACATAGATACTCACTGATTATGAGATTTTTGGATTTCTGCCAGATTTGTAAGCGTTGTTGTGGCTTACACTATGTTGCTGTCTGGCAGTTAAAGATGGCTGAAAAGGGTAAATCCAGTGGAGGTGCATGATGGGTCATGTGACATCTTAAGTACCTTATTACTGTACAAGAGTCATTAAAAAAATACAACACCACAGATTTCCTGATAACCGAATCCCATGTGGATAGTAAACATAATGCAGTAAGGCAGTATAGGGCATAGACACACGCTGCTGCTGGGAGCCTATTTGTGATATTGTGAACAGAACAGTTAGCTAGAGAGAGGCAGGATAGAGGAATGAATTTCAATATTCTTATTGTTAATCTACATAAACAAATTTACATTTCAGCAAATAAAGACACTGTATAGTAGTACAGTGAATAAAAAATATAAGTAGTACTGTTTCTCCTAATTTTGACTGAATAATATGTAAATTTGATTTTCAATCATGTGCCAATATGGCATTAAGATTAATGCCTTTCTCATGGTTTTAAGTATAAATCTTACATATATGAAAATATAGAAGTTTCTGATGGCTTGAAACAATATTTAAAGTTTTTGAATGAAATTAACTGTTGATCTATATTATATTGTTGAAAAAATGCAAGTATCAACATCAATAGGTCTTTTTCAATAGTAATTATGAGTAACTAAATTGTTGTTTTATTACAGTTATCTTTATCATTTTCAGAGCATCAGGGCTGCTGTTTTTATTTGAAATAATTGTCGACCGTCGAGTAGCTGATTCGCAAAAAAAGTGCTTAAAACTTTCATTTAAATACATCTTCAATTATGATTGATTACTTTCTGTCTGCTATGTTCTCCGTTCACTTACTTTCCAATTATTTAAAATTAAGGTAGTTTACCCTTCAGCATTAATGTGTTACACCGTGTATTTAATGAGGTTTACATAATGTAATTATCTTCACTTACATGCTGTGTCCTAAGGCTTTTTGTTGATAATGTGTGCTGGGCAATATTAAGAAAAAGTGACATTAAACTTTATAGTGATAACATGAAGTTCATCTATCAACCTTCATGTTTTGTCCACCTCTCCCTCTTTCTATCTTTCTTTCCAACCTTTGTTTTATTTTTAAATGCAATTTGTTTGTCTGTTTAGCTGCGATGTGGAGCTCTAGAAACATTCGGCTCATTGATTAATAGACCTTTTTCGTATGGACGGCCGATAGGGCCAATATACTTTACTGCCTCTATTATACTGCCCTCATCAGAGCTTTCGAGATTACGAGAACTTGTTGCCCTAAAGCCAGCTAATTGTCATTTCCTAACTATAACTTTGTTCTTAATAAATGAATATTTTATAATGTACTGCTAATAAATGAATATTTTATAATGTACTGCTATCTGTCAAACCAATGCTCTTTACAGCTGGCATAGAATTTAGAAATTCATGGTATTTGGGCATGCCGCTAGTTTTAATATGGAATTTAAGGTTTTTGGATTTGAAAGATGAGTTGAGGGCTAAAATAGATGATAACTTTTTCAATATTGAAAGCACTCCATAGCCAGGATGCTTTAAGTGCTATCAATTTTTTATTTCATGGTGTGTTAATATTATAAAATCTTTGGTACAATAGTGATTTAATGCTCTCTGTTGAAATTCGTGTTGGATGCATATAAAATCACCACAAAATACATGCACTTGGTTGGTCTGGTACTGCTAGATCCGATCATTTCAAGACTAAATGAGGAAGGCATATAAATGAAGCAGTTTAATTGAACAAAGCGTTCGATTTCCGTTGGAAACCATGGTGATACGTAAGAAGATTTGGCTTAACAAAAACTAATTAATCATGATATTGAAGCAGTGGAAGTAATCATAGCATCAATGAAGATTAATTTTACAAGTCAGGATTTGTAGACTAATTAAAGCAAGTGAGTGAGTTGAACATGATTCATCTTTTGTCAATCAACAACTAAATTACAGTAGTATTTAGATCTAGGAGTGAAGCTGTTTCTAGGTGCCTTGCCTTCCGGTTCTAGGGTCTTGGGTTCAAGTCATGGGATATCTATGTTTCACACTGAGAACTATATTATAAATCATTCTTCCATTCACTAATTACCAAGTCATGTGCTAGCTTTTGGATGTGAATCAAATAATAAAAGCATACTCCAGAAGTTTTTTTTTTTCTCTTTTATAGCAGTTTGACAGTATGTGGTGTGCATGTGTTTATTTCAAAAACACTATAATATATGACTTAGCAAGATGACACTTTTTATAGGCCAGAGATCTTAGGTTACACACAAAGCATCATTTTGATATTTTACATTTGATATTTTACAAATTATTTTCATTCTTCATCAACCAACAATCATTGGAAATTATACTATATTGTAGAAAAAAATTAAAATAATCTAGCTACGTTATTTTTATAATTAACAGATTACTTACATCATACATTCATATTCATTAAATTATTTTTAAATTACATTTTTCTTTTTTTGGAAATTATACTATAGAAGCAATTTAAAACCAGCTAGCTATAGTACTATGCTATTCTCAAAGTATGTAGAAGAGCCTATGAATATCAACCGGTGCAGCAATCTACTCGCACACAATATGAGATCGCAAAAGCTGAATAATATTAACTACATAGTGCACTTTTTAGGTGTGCGCGATATATATTGTCTCCCAATAAATTTTCAAAATGGTTGACCGACTCCACGCTGTCTCTACTGATATTGATTTAACAAATATGTAACCAAATTTTTAAAGCAAATTGTGTGTAGTGTACCTGATATAAAAGATGGTAAAGATAACAAATGTTTCATTTTGATATAATTCAATTTTCTCTTTGACAGTTGGTTAGGGAATCAGTACTCTATACAATTTGCTAATTTCACCTAACTGTTCTACTTTTACAACAACGTATCCTGTACATTTTGTGTTATGGCTTATTTATGAACCTGATTCGGCAGAATTAATGTATAAATTAAGTAGACCACTGTGTCATGTTGCTGGTTGTTAATAGTATGATAGATCTATACGTATTTCTGAAGAATATTTAGTCTAAAAATGACAGGAAATTGATTGGAAACCAGATTATGTAGGTTGCATCATGTCCATTGCATTAACTGAGGTGATTATGACACTGTCACAGCTTGTGTATCATTGAGTCGGTAAAATTGTGTGTAAAGGTTCAGGTGTTGATGGCAATTAACATATCTACACCTGCTATAGAAAAAAATGTATCTAATGACGTAATAGAAATACACAGTTTTGCATTGTGCTTCACTATTACCTCTCTACTAGTCATTTATAGCAGGGAGATGTAAAAAATAATTATTTACATCTGTCTGTTTATAGCATCAGTTCAAAGTGTGGACACATTCAGTCAAACTAGGGCGTACATCAAGTCGCACAATGATGATTTGCCATCAAATTACTCAAATATGCAACATTAGAATTTTAATAAATTTAATGCAGCACGTATTTGAATGTCATATTTCCAAATTTTAAGCTTTGGGAAATCATTTATTATCATCGACCTTTAACCAGATCCTTGGGCCACCACATATTACCATTTATTGTTTTATTTTAAACTTCTCTTATTGAGAAGAAATAATGTATTTATCAAGGATATAAATAGACATAAACAAACCGTAATTAAAACAAATTGATTCAACTACAAATCTAATTAATGCTTAATTATGATATAAACAATCTGTAACACTGTAACTCAGGATGTTCTTATTTTTAATAGAATTTGAAGGATGAATATAGGCTCACTAAAATCATGATTTAAAGATGCTGAACTCAATAGAAATTTCTCAATTACATATACGGTACAGTGTTGCTGTATCTCATCTTGGTTTTTAATCTTTGATATGTGTACTTTAATTAATCTACTCTTCTTTGATGCATTGTAACCATAGTAACTAACTGCTAATTATTTGGAGGCTTGCTGAATTTCTACAGAGTGCATATTTTATTTAAGAATGTAATTATCGGGTAATTCTAAAAATAATGACTAATAATGTACAGGTGTACTGTAACAGTACATAGTTCGGATTCTAACTTCTATACGGTTTTCATCATGTATTTCTTAATCGTGAAACATAAGATCTTGCATTCAATCTAATTATTGCTTGTACTATATACATATTTTTAAAGGTTTATATACACATTTTATGTACTATTTGACCTACTTTATATAAACTATTATATAACTTATTATTTCAATTGGATTTTACAGAATGTTCATGTGTTTGTTAAACTGTAATTTGTGTTTTTTAAAATTTCATGACAATTTGACATTGTACTGGGGGGAAAAATACTTCAATATTGTTTTGTGACAAAGTGAACTTGAACCTTTAAGTAACTCATTTTTACTATTATTCATTTCTACAGTAAATATAATACAGTAGTATACAGTAGTAGCATGGATTTTTACTATGGTTACCTATACTAAGTGATTTTATTAACACCATTTGACTAGTTAAGAACTATTGATTATCTGATTTTATTCCTTTTTTAAAGTGTGATTCTAAGTCTTTCCTAATAGTTACAATATGTTGCAACCAGTGGCAGTAATGAGCATTGACATGTAATATTTCAAGCCTTCTATTCTCATTACCATGCTTCTAGAATATTGTTCATAAATTTCTTTGGAATGCCCTGCTGCTAGTGCCATATTCTTTATGGTAAAATACTGTACAATCTTTTTCATAAAGAGGTAACAATAAACCTTGATAATGTAGGTAAATACTCAGGGGTGGCAACAGGATTTGCCGGACGGAGTGTCCGATGTTCCTGCGGGAGTGGGGGTGATGTCCCCAATGAGAGAGAAAGTGGGCGTGGTTGGGCGTCACTCAAAGTCTTTTGTAAATTAGAGGTTTCAAAGGCTCATTCAATCAATTTAAGGGTCTAGAAATGTTATTTTCTCCTTGACGAATTGTGTTGGTTCACGAATTAGTGAATTTAAAAAAAATGTTTGCCCTGATTTTTATACGGGATAATGATAAATTTTCTATGCTCTAATACATTTTCAAGTGGTTTAAAATACAGCATGTGCATTATACTGTAGTCTGTGATTACATGTGTACTAATAAACCTTTATACACACTGACATTATTATTACTAGTCTTATAGTATAATTTGTTATAATGAAATCTGGTTTGCGATTCCTGAATCTGACATGTTGTTACATTATGCCTAACAAGTCCTTTCTATTTGATTTTAGTATAATGGAAACACACCAGCTGGCAGAAGCAAAGGAGAAACAGAATGCAAAGCTGAGAGAAGCATTTGGAATTGGTGATAATTATGTGGATGGCAGCTCATTTGACCCTGATAGAAAGGCTAAAGAGGCAGCTGCCAAAGAAAAACAAAAAGAATATGAGTATGTGCTATGTTGTGAACATTATGTAATATATGCATGCTGCTAAGCAATAACTAATCAAGTTTGTAAATAATATTCATATCAAGTTTGCTGTGTAGCACCTTAAGCATAATATAAACAAGTAAATGAATGATAATAAATAATAATAACGAAAATAATGTCTTTGGCAGGACTCAAACCTGCAACTTCTCGCTATTAAGGAGAGTATCATGCACGTAGATCTAACCCCTAGGTACTTTCTGTAATGCTCACACATATTGGAGCTGTGATTAAGCTGCAAAATCTTGTTGGTTGCAGCTAGGTCTTGTATCAATAATCGTAATCAGTTATATAATATATTGAAATAAATGTTATTTGCATTTACTATAAGAATTTACTTTTATACCTAAATAAAAATTGTATTTAATTAGAATGATTATAATAAAAAATTTATTCATTTCGTGTCTAACCTCATCTTCATTTCCATTCTCCTTCATTATACTCCTTATAATCTCACCCTTTCAGAATCTCAGCCTTACTCATATCTACCATTACTTCTAATCATTCTCTGATTTACCCTTTTAACACTTTTCCCCCTCTAACTCTTTATAGACATCCTCAAAATTTGGTACACCTTCAATCCCTTGCCATCATACTCATCCTTACAATCCTGTTACTGAAATCTTTATGTTTGCCATCAAGTACCTTCCTAGCCCTTCTTACCCTTCTTCTAGTTCTTCTCAATTATCTTAACTATTCTTGTCACAATCCTAACAATTCTCACCTTACATTAACAACCCTTCTAATGTTATGTAACATTTATTAATTTCTCATAATCAAATCAAATTACAAAAGACTTTTGATGAACTTATAGTATGTAGTATAGTGTACAATAGTAATGAAACTATTAATATAGTGTACAATAGTAATGAAACAATTAATGTTGTTAAAGTTTAAAATGAAAGATTTACACAGGAAACCATATTATTATCTTTTATAAAGTGAGAACCAAAAATTCAATTATCAAATGTTCACTCATACAGTAGATCCTCATAAAGCCTCCAGTTTATAATCACTTGAATATGTTATTTTTATCTTTGAAGAATTTTGGAAGATCCAGATGATGAGGAAGAAGAAAGAACCTCCTCAAAACGAAAGAAGAAGAAATCACACAGTCACAGTCGGTAAGTGCTTGCTATTCCTAACGTTATTAGTACGCTCTTTTAATATCCTAACATTGCTGAAATTATAACTCCCCAATCAAAAAACAGTATAATATCACATGGTATCTCTTTATCCTCAAGATATTTCTTTACGATCAAATGTATTTTTAAAAATTCAAGAAATTTTCAACCTATATTCTATCAAGACTATAAACATGTTCAATATTTTTCATAAAATAGCTTTGAGTTGTCCAATCTCTTGAAAATATTTGTTTGCAGAATTAGTTATTTGATAAATTTTGATTGATGTCTTTAAAATACTGCCATTGTTATATTTAGAGCAATTTTTTTCCTGTACATGGAAGTACAGTAATATTCCGCATTGAATATTTCTTGATTTTAAAATTGTACAAGCAGTGAAACTGATGAACTGATGAACATGCATTAAATTTTGGAAATTGTGTCTGATGTTTGCAAAAATAGTAAATGTATTTGTTTCCTTCATTATATGCTAGCAAAAGGAGAAAGCGTTCTAAACGGGAGAGGTAAAGTATTATATAAGATATAACTTACATGCTTCCAGGTTCTCATCTTGTATTTATTATCATTTATTATTTATGATGTAATCTTATAAATCATTATCATTGCATCTAGGAGTAGAGGAATAGAATTAATTTTATTATTATTTTATGATTTTATAGCATTTATATACAGTAGTGCACATATCCAGAAAACTGCTTAAGGCGCATTTTTTCCCTGGTCATTGGATACAGAATCAATTGTACACAGCATGCAACCTCCTCTGATCCCTGGGGAGTATTCCTATTTATGCGTGTAATCAGCACTACTAATTTCACTCCGAATTATTCACCTGCTACCAGTACCCATTTATACTCATGGTGAAGAGAGGCAAATGCAGATATAGTGTCTTGCCCAAGGACACAAGCAGTGTAATTATTAAATATCTTCAAAATATAATACATAAAAAAAATTAATAATTAAAGAAGCAAAATCAATCATTACAATGTGGTAACTGTTTAAGAGATAGAATATCAGGGATAAAAAACTGAAATTTATTTCAGAAGGAATCCCTGAATACCAAACAATCTTACATTTTATAAATACAATAGAGTATTTTTTTCATTTTTTAAACTGTTTTCCTTGTTTTTAAAACTCTTGATCGATTTGTCCTTATATATATATTATTGAATATTTCACTATATTATATTCTAGAATGTTTATATTCAATATTTGCTGTGTTAGTGTCATTATATCTAAATTTGTCTTTATTTTTATGTCACTGTTTGTTTCATTAAAATATTATACATAGCTTATACATTAGAAATACATATTACTATTTTTATTATAGAGAGGAGGTGTAGTGTTGCCATAGTATTATGAAGAGCTTTTTAAGCTAAGCCAGCCTTCTTTCACATGTCTCATTCTTCTTCAAGTTCGTGTCTGAACTTTTCTAAATTGTAATCGTTGGAAAAAGATTTTATTGTATTAAGTGAGGGGCTTCCCACTGTTTGACAGTGAATTTTAATATGAATAATATTGATAAATAATTAAATATGAATTTCTTTTCAAATGATTTATTAGCTTAAAACCTGAGATGTGTTTAAACCACAAAGCTACAATCACATCAGTAATATCTTTATCATAACTTTAATGTAGGTTGTACAGTAAGTGTTCAGAATTTCACAACCCTTTGCAAAAGCTGTTCCATCAGGTGTTAGTGTTGGTTTACTCATATGAAATTGCTAGTGCTCATCAAATATTTATAGAATCCTATAAGGGATATAGCAATATTTGTTAAATTATCAACGCAGCGTTGTAGTGTACTGAAATATGCTGATCTCTACCTCTACTTGGCAATTCTCATTTAGAATTTGTTTAATGTTTGAATGTGTTAGCATGTGCTGAAGAAATCTTTTACAAAATCAACAAAGTGACAACCGTTATATGTGTTATGCTGCTGCACATTACATTTCCAAATGGCTTTCGCATGAATCAAATTTCAATTTAATATTTTCTAGACTGTATTCCAAGATTTATGGTATTAAACATTTTAGAAATGATTTCCAACATTATATATTGCATTTTACTAAAGTGTAGTGGCCTTGATCTACAAACAAGTATGTATTTTGGTCAAATATTGATGTAGGTCATGCTTTTAATAACTCTCGTAATTCTACTCATTCAACTGATTTTATGGAATGATATTTACAGGTTGGTATGGACTGTGACTCACATGAAAGCATATACAAGATCAAAGCAAGCATAATATCTAGTGGAGCTATAGCTTGTTGGTTAGGATGCCTTCAAATACCAGAGCTCTGCCCTCTGCCCAAGCTTGAACATCCCGTTTTTATGACTAAAAATTATCTTCACTCCCTAGGCCTAAATCTTATACATAGTCTTCTAGATTGTTGAAGATCATAATAAGCTTGCTTTCTAAGACTAAATATTTAAATCCTTTCTATTATTTTAAACAACTTATTTATTAATTTTTCTATGATTCATTTATAATTTCATTCATTGATTACCGGTGTTCTGTTCCAGTTTCAGTTTGTGATAGAAAGTCAGTATAGCAATGCATGCCAAATTATTTGTTACTATATTTTTATAAGTAAAACAATGAATATTTGTTATATTCCCAATGCCTAGTAAATCTGTATTTTCTTTATTGTATTATGATTCCTGTTCATTGTAAAATGTGACAGCAAAATATCAATCACTAAATCTAACTGAAAAGTATATTAAAATTATTTTAACAATATAATCTTAATATTAAACTATTGATTTTGTAATTTTTAGAAGTTATTTTCTCAAAATCTACATGGCTAATATCC